GACAGGACTAATCAACATTAGCATTTCAGCTCTAACTACCCTAGAAGTGAGGTGAGGGTCCTGGGCAGGAAGGAGGACAAACAGCACTTCGTGTAATTCTTAAAGTGGGTATGCCTTGACCAGCTGGTCTTCCTAAGGCCTACAGAATTCATACAAGTTTCAGTATTTACCTTTCAGCTATTATTTATAACTAATAGCTAGTACCAACGAAGGCTGGAACAAATGTCTAATTTGAATGAAGTTTGGTTACAAAAAGGTTCCCCATTTCAAGACTAAAATCTAAAATAGTAAATCAAGTTCAAGCCCAAAACAGGACCTGAGTGGGCTCCACTGCTGAGACCTGAATTGCGTCCACATCTGTCCCATGGCCACCACTGCTCATGGGTAGGCCTCTAGTATTGCCTGGGCTCCAAACACAGGGGCAAGCAGGCCAGTGGCCAGACTATGTACTCCCATCCACAGTAGGCAGAGCTCCATTTTACTGGAGTTGAACATTTGATGACAGGGGCCGTAGCCAGAAATAGTGACGCAATGTTCTTAGCAAATCACGTGTGTTTTGCTTAGTGTTGGACCGGGCCCACTCTGGCTTATGTATTCCATAACCGTAGAGAATGCTTCCTCCTTTTCCACCTGGCTCAGTAGAACATAACTCGGGTCACTTCTGGGCCACTGAAAAAACTTGCAGGAATGGGGTCCAGACCCTCTTTAATAGGTAGGTAGCTGTACAAGGCACTGGCAGTGGGGAGTAGGGGGTGGAAATGGATGCTTTGTTCCCCGACTGACTCTAGAAGACAGAATTCACCCTCACGATCCTAAAAGGTGATCAGAAATTTTCTCCTGGGGCCAGCCCCGTGGCTTAGCAGTTAAGTGTGCGCGCTCTGCTACTGGCGGCCCGGGTTCAGATCCCGGGCGCGCACTGCCGCACTGCTTCTCCGGCCATGCTGAGGCGGCGTCCCACATACAGCAGCTAGAAGGATGTGCAGCTATGACATACAACTATCTACTGGGGCTTTGGGGAGAAAAAGGGGGAAAAAAAGGAGGAGGATTGGCAATAGATGTTAGCTCAGGGCTGGTCTTCCTCAGCAAAAACAGGAGGGTTGGCATGGATGTTAGCTCAGGGCTGATCTTCCTAAAAAAAAAAAATTTTTTTTCCTTAAAACTCTAATGCAGATCCACAGACCACTTGCAGACTCTAGAAACAGATGATGGTGGGTCTGGGGTGGGGTCTCTAATGGATAGGACTCTCTGCTTTCTTCAAAACACTACATGTCCTGGGCAAATGGCTGCTGAACTGCTCCTTGCTCTGTCATCTGGCCACCTTCAGATGCTATGATTCCTTTCTCTCCACCTCTGCAAATAATTTATTGAGAAACAAGATTTTATGTGTTCTCAGAAATAATTCTTCATTTGTCTTGCAAGGTAACAGCTGCTTCTCAGTGATTTATCAGCAAACGACGCATCTATAAGTTCATTAAAACCTTTTGATCAGAGGCAGCTAACTAAAGGAGTAGAATTAAGGCATACAGTTTCTGGAATTTCAAAGTTAAATAAGTATAAATCCCTAGGCATAGTATGGGCGTACCTAACTAATGGGTATCATTTTAAGTTTTGGTTGTTCTTGAGTTTACACGTTCACATTAATTTTAGAATCAGTTTGAACAGTTCTGTCGTTAAGTCCTGTTGATATTTTAAAAAGGATTGAACTGAACTCTTTACAATTTGTCTTCCCTTTCATAACCATGACATTCTTCTCCATTATTCAAGTTTTCTTTTAAGTCCTTCAATCAAGTTTTATCTTCTTCAATAAGACTCTAGCACATTTCTTGTTAGGCTTTTTCTCTAGGTAACCTTTTTTTAAATTGCTGTTGTAAATGGTATCCATTTTCCCCCCTTAAAATTTCCCAATTAAATATTGCTATTATGTTTATATATTAATCTCGCAGTCACCTTTTTGAACTGTCTTCATTGGCTTATCAGTTGATTGTGTTTGATCTTCTAAGTAAATCATATTTCTTAGAAATACAGGCATACCTCATTTTATTGTGCTTTGCTTTATTGTGCTGCACGGATACTGTGTTATTTATAAATTGAAAGTTTGTGGCAACCCTGCATCGAGCATATCTATTGGTGCCATTTTTCCAAGAGTGTTTGCTCACTTCATGTCTGTGTCACATTCTGGTAATTCTCCCAATATTTCAGACTTTTTCATTATTATTTGTTATAGTGATCTGTAATCAGTGATCTCTGATGTCACTATTGTAATTTTGGGACACCATGAACTGCACTCATACAAGATGGCGAACTCAATCAATAAATGTATGTGTTTTGACTGCTTCACTGACAGGCCATTCCCTCACTTCTCACCCTCTGCTCAAGCCTCCCTATCCCCTGAGAAACAATGTTGAAACTAGGCCAATTAATAACCTTACTATGGCCTCTAAGTGTTCAAGTGAAAAGAAGAGTTGCATATCTCTCACTTTAAATCAAAAGCTAAAAATATTAAGCTTCGTCAGGCAGGCATGTCGAAAGCTTTGAGATAGACCAAAAGCTAGGCCTCTTGCACCAGTTAGCTAAGTTGTGAATACAAATGGAAAAGTTCTTGAAGAAAATTAAAAGTATTATTCCAGCGAACACACGAATGATAAGAAAGCGAAACAGGCATAATTATTGCTGATATGGAGAGAGTTTTAGGGGTCTGGATAGAGGATCAAATCAGCCACAACATTCCCTTCAGCCAAAGCCTAATCCAGAGCAAGGTCCTGACTCTCTTCAATTCTATGAATGTTGACAGAGGTGAGGAAGCTGCAGAAGAAAAGTGTGAAGCAGAGGTTGGTTCATGAGGTTTAAGGAAAGAAGCCATCTTCCTAACACAAAAGTGCAAGGTGAAGCAGCAAGTGCTGATGTAGAAGCTGCAGCAAGTTACCCAGAAGATCCAGCTAAGATAAGTAATGAAGGTGGCTAAACAACAGATTTTCAATGTAGATGAAACAGCCTTTATGTTGAAGGAAGACGCCATCCAGGATTTTCGTAGCTAGAGAGAAGTCAATGCCCGCTTCAAAAGACAGGCTGACTCTCTTCTTAGGGGCTAATGCAGCTGGTGACTTTAAGTTGAAGTCAGTGCTCACTCAGCATTCTGAAAATCCTATGGCTCTTAAGAATTATGCTAAATCTACTCTGCCTGTGTTCTGTAAATGGAACAACAAAGCCTGGATGACAGCACATCTGTTTACAACATGGTTTACTGAATATTCTAAGCCCACTGTTGAGAACGTCTCAGGAAAAAAAGATTCCTTTCAAAATATTACTGCTCATTGGCAGTGCACCTGGTCACTGAAGAGCTCTGATGGAGATGTACAATGAGATTAATGTTATCACATCTGCTAATACAGCATCCATGCTGCAGACCAGGGATCAAGTAGTAATTTCAACTTTCAAGTCTCATCATTTAAGAAATACATTTCATAAGGGTATAGCTGCCACAGATAGTGACTCCTCTGATGGATCACGGCAAAATAAATTGAAAACCTTCTAGAAAGGATTCACCATTCTAAATGCCCTTAAGAACATTTGTGATTCACGGGAAGATGTTAAAATATCAACATTAACAGAAGTTTGGAAGAAGCTGATTCTGACCTTCATGGATGACTTGGAGTGGTTCAAGACTTCAGTGGAGAAGTTACAGCAGATGTGGTGGAAACAGCAAGAGGACTAGAATTAGAAGTGGAGCCTGAAGATGTGACTGAATTGCTGCAAGCTCATGATAAAACTTTAACTATGAGGAGTTGCTTCTTATGGATGAGCAAAGAAAGTGGTTTCTTGATATGGAATCTACTCCTGGCTGGTGAAGACTGTTTAAAAGACAACAAACGGTTTAGAATATCACATAAAGTTAGTTGATAAAGCAGCAGCAGGGTTTGAGAGGGTTGACTCTAATTTTGAAAGAAGTTCTACTGTGGGTAAAGCTATCAAACAGCATCACATGCTACAGAGAAATCACGTGTGAAAGGAAGAGCCAATCGATGCGGCAAATTTCACCATTGTCTTATTTTAAGAAATTGCCACAGCCACCCCAGCCTTCAGCAACCACCACCCTGACCAGTCGGCATCCATCAAAATTGAGGCAAGAGTCTCCACCAGCAAAAAGATTACGACGTGCTGAAGGCTCAGATGATGGTTACCATTTTTTAGAAATAAAGTATTTAATTAAGGTATGTACGTTGCTTTTTTAGACATAATGCTACTGTACATTTAATAGAGTACAATATACTGTAAACATAACTTTTATTTGCACTGGGAAACCAAAAAATTCATGTGACTCGCTTTATTGCGATATTTGCTTTATTGCAGAGGTTTAGAACCGAATCTGCAGTTACCTCTGAGGTGTGCCTGTAATGAAATTTGTTCTTACTTTCCAGTATTTATATCATTACTTTTTCTTGTCTTACTGTAGTAGTTAGGACCTCCAAGAACATGGTTGAATAGATGTACTAAAGGATAACCTTGTTTGAACTCTGACAAGAACACATCTAATATTTTACCTTTGAGTATGAGATTTGCTTGAGTTATCTTTTAACAAGTTCAGGAATTGCTAGTTTGATGAACATTTTTGTTTTAATAAAAAATTGTGGTGGTGACCAAGACTTACTCCAGTTTAAAAAAATTTCTCTTAAGGAACTCGTGATTAAAGGAAAATATGTAACAGATCAATGTTGTTTGTTTTACCTTGGTACCCAGAAAGCTCAGAGCCAAATTGAGTATAAAAACTCTGAATGTCACAGCCTTCTCATCTACATTATTTTGGTTCTACTGCTTCCCAACCTCCCACCTACTCTAATTTATATCATCCAACATGTTTTTCTCTTATTTTACTATTTTATTGCATGGATTTCCTGTCACAAATCTTTAATGGAATGAGATAAAGTATAAATTATAAACTTAAAGATGTGGTTACATTTGGATTTAAAATTAAGAATGAGAGAAATGTAATATGGGCAGGAAAATATTGTTGGATCTTTTAATAACAAATCCATTACTTATCAGGAAATCACAAGGAGACTTAACTCTATAATAAGTCTCTTAGGTGACCATATGAATCAAGTCTCAGAAAACATCTGGGGTTAAGTTGGATTCTGTGGGTCCTCAGGAATCTGGTCCTGAGGAAATCCAGCAGTTAAATGAGGCCTGCTTGTACTTCCATTGTTAAGCTTAATTATTTATCATAAGTAGCCATTAGTAAACACATTTTAATTTCATACAATGAAGAGAAATCCAGGGGCCATTAACATTTTTAGTAATAGGTAATTAATAAGTTTGTTGAATGTACAATCCCAGGCTATTTCAAATCCTTTCTGGAAGGCATCAAGGAAAAATGATTACATCTATCTTATAGTTGAGTGATCAAACTAAAAAATAACTATTCCTCCCAACAAAAGTGTAAATCGGATCCATAATATGATTTTATTGTCTTTCCTTTGTCAAGTCTTTAACTGTGACATATATATTTCTGTAATTTAAATAAAAATCTTACTTCCTTTCTCTCTTTAGGGCTCTAAAATGTAGACTGATAAAAATGAATTTTAGGAACTGGTTTCTTTTATCAAAATAGGTTGCACCACCGTCATAGTCCCCATATGGTTTGCCAGTGCTCCTCAACCACCCCTTCACAAAGACAGACAAATCTTTAATAAAAGTTAAATTTATAAACATCTTAAGATAACTTGAGAAATACGTAGTAAAAAAAGAATGAAGCCCACATATTACAAAGACTTTGCTAATATGTAAATTGCCAATCCATCTAAATTTGACATATCCAGTCTACTTAACTGATTTGTTTAATGTGGTAATTTTTTTTTTTTACCACAAATTGAGTTGGGGGATGAATGATACATTTACGCCCTTGACAAAGATGACAAGTGTGGTATTGCTGTGACTAAGAAAGGAAAATTTAATTCCTGGTTATATTATTGTTCTGGCTCATCAAAGCTCATAGAATATGTGAGGTTCCACTGTCCAATGAGGTTAGGCAAATGTAATAGAAGGGGCACTAGGCTGACACACATTCTCATCATACAAATCTTCTGGTAGTTCCTCTTCATCTCCATCAGGAAAGTATGTAGGAAATGGTAGATTTTTACAGAAGTCCTTATATGCAGGCAGTTTAGAATCTCTGATCTGTAGGAAGGAGGCAAAGATCTTATTAATAAGCGCTACCATTATGTGATTTAGAGATAGTCTGTTTTACTTATTATTTATAGTCAAAGAATATCTGTTCCTACATTTTCCAATGTGAATAACACAACTGTTTTATTATTTTTTTCCCCCAAAGCCCCAGCAGATAGTTGTATGTCATAGTTGCACATCCTTCTAGTTGCTGTATGTGGGACGCGGCCTCAGCATGGCTGGAGAAGCGGTGCGTCAGTGCGCGCCCGGGATCCGAACCCGGGCCGCCAGCAGAGGAGCGCACGCACTTAACCGCTAAGCCACCGGGCCGGCCCAACACAACTGTTTTATATCTATAAAGCACAAGGAACTCAAGGTATTCTTTTTATTCCAGTAAACTTAATTAATCCAATGACAGAAATGCAATCTTCCTCAAGTTAATCAGCTATCTCATACGAATAAAATTACTCTGATTATTAATTTATATCCTATCCATAACTTATAAATCTCTAGAACTGCCCAATATGATAAATTATATTTTACAATTACTTAAATACTAATTATATCTAAATTGATTTTTCAAATATAAAGATCTAACAAACTATATATCTAAAAGGTATATCTACTTCTTAATTGATTTGATTATCTACTCACATTATCTTTTATTATTTTATTTCCTACCATAAATTTTTTGAGCTAAGGTTAAAAAAATAAAATTTACCTAGTATTTTTGTTAGTCTTAATTCTAAGAGCACATAACTAAAAATTTCAAGTTTTATTAAGGAAATTAACTTAGATTTAGGAAGTCTCATTGGGAAGCTAAGGACAGAATAATATTTGGCAAAAACAATAATAATAAACCCATAAACCTTTATAATAGCTCATTAACTCTTTATATTCTAAAAATATCCTAATTGTATCTGTGAATTCATAAACCAAGGAATAGTACAGATATTGATATGATCTAAAATACTGAGTTTCATTTTTGGAAAATATTATTGGGTTCTTTAAAGCTTCTGACTCATTCTACAGCCTTCATTCAGAGAGAAATAAAAAACATTACATGTAATTACACACACAGAGTAAAATAAGGCATAATCATTTTGGCAATAAGAAATGAATAATTTGGTTGAAGTAAGTACACAGCTGCTAGGAACAGCTAAGTACAGAAAAACATCTATTTTAATCTCTCTCATTAAAATTGTTCCAAGAAATTAATGGTAAATTGCCCAGAAGAAAATAAACTTGTTAAATTTTTTTTTCCAATTCACTAATCTTGGGTTGAACTTTAACTTGGAAAAAAAAAATCATATTCTTACCAATTTAAACTGTCTCAGAATTTAGAATTGAAAATAAAGCCCAAGCAGATAAACAAAACCAACAGTAACAAAACTTTCTGTGCTAATTTGATAAATGTGAAAATTTAGTCATAAATGACCTAAATAGCTAATTCTCAGTTACTTTTACATTTTTATAGACGTACCAAAACTCAGGAACATTTCAGACAAAAGAACTGCTTATATATTCTAATTATAAATGCTACAGCACTATAATTCATTGATTTGAAAGATATGACGACACCTTATCTAAGTATCTTTTGTCGTGGTGGCTCTAAAGTTGAGGGTCAAAAGTCTGCAGCCCATCTTGAACAAATGTGCAAGACTCTATGGTATGTATTTTTGTGCACTTAATCTCACCCCTGGCTTTATTATTTCCCCGCCTTTACTAAGACTCCCTCAACTATCTACCTCATTCTTTTTATGTTTACATATATTAGCAAACCAGTTCAAATCCTTTGAGAAAAGGTGGGGGGTAGGACACCGAAAAAACAGGTACATCTGAAAATAAACTTAAATTATAAATTAGGATATAGGAATGAGCATGCTCGGATAGTATTTAATAACATACACTACATTATGCTGTAAATAACAGTTCTTTAGGCTCTCAGTATTTTCAGTGAATCCAAACAACAATAACAAAAAGCTAACATTAAACAGGTTGGTCATCCCTACGACTATCTTTTCTAACTTTAGAATAAGGAAAACATTTATCAGTAGCCCTGTACTCTGAGGGAGCAAAAGCTCCTGTGGGGTGAGTGGATGTTAATAATGAGGCTGCTTGTCCAGCAGGAAGTGCCTCAGTCTCCAAGGGCAAGGGGGCTTATTCACCTGCTATGGAATCACCTGGAGGAATGGAAAAAGTGAATGTTTTCAAAACATGTACCAAGCTTCTGGCATTTAAAACACAAGCCACAAAACATTATCTCAAACCCACACCTTAATGTTTGGGACACCTAACATTGTTTAAGGTTACAAAAGACAGTTGTTTAGACACCAAAATCCAAAGATTTTTTTTTCAAGGTGAGCTCTTTTTTATCAAAATGTTTGCTGCAAATATATTCACTAGTGTATTAACAGTTCAAAGTAGACTAGACATTTCTCTGATGCTTTTGTTTCTCAAAATATGTTTAGACTCCTCTTTTGGAATTGCCTTTGGTGTACCTTCTAAATGTCTTCGGTGAGAGCAAGCCATCATTCACTAAAGAGTTAATTTTTTAGAGGCAATCTTTTATTGAAGTGGGTGGAAAATCTGAGTATGTTGTTGATTAAAAGGTGTTTATAACAACCAGATCAGAATATCACTGCACATATTATGGTTTGTCAAGACAGCTGACCTATTCATCCTTGCTGGTGTCAAAGATGCTGAGATGGCTCCTGAGAAATCACAGCTGCAGTAGTTTCAGTTGGAAAGCCAGCCTAGAATCGTGTATGTAGCAAAATGGGGAGAAAAGGTGGATCTGACAACATTTAAAAATTCACCTGCTATTTGGTATAATTTTATTAAGGAAAATAATCATTTTCCTTTTTTCTCATTTAAGGTGGTGATATTTATAACATGCAATAAATCTGGAATGTGGAGGTAGGGATACATTGAATTATGAAGCCAAAATGTTATGAGAAGTACAATGACAACCTGCTGGTTTCAACCACCTGTCATTGTGTGCATGACCGGGACACTTAAGACACTGGACACATACTTAAACCTCTAACATCTTCAAGTTAAAAAAAAAAAATTGCAAAAATTCATCAAATGCATTTTTTCTTTAAGAAAAATAAGAATAATCCAGTCAAAAGCAAGGAGTTCCAGAAAGGGAATTTTAATTACCGTAAGATTAAAAAAAATATTGTACCTTAACGCTAGTCATGGAACCTACTTTAAGAAACGAAAAAGAATACATAGAGAAAGACCCAACCTTAAAAAGCAGACTGAAGTTTCAACTCACTTTTGGAAAACTAACGAAGAATATATTTCTGGGAATAGTTGATACCACTTCTACTACAAATTTATTTTCAGAATGGAAGATTCAAAATTCAAAAGGGATCTCTCACTTTGTAGTATGTTGGCCTCAATCGCAGGCAGAATATTTATTTTGTATTTTATTTGCAAAAAGTCTCTGAGAGCTTCAGAGTTTTTCTTCAAATCTATCCTGTACATGTTTCTTTTGTTCTTTTACTTTACGTTTTTGAACATAAAAATGAACATGCATATTTTTAAGGAAAACAGAGGTATAATCAGGGCAATGATAGTAATAAAAATAAAAACTAAAAAAATAATAATAAAATCTCTCCTTAAAATGCCTACCTTTAACCATCTTTCTCGTTGATTCATTTAATTTCAACCTCACGTATTTCTGATTCCTTTGTCAAAGTACTCTTAAAAAAACTAAAGTTTTTTTTTGGAAGGACAGAGATAGATTGATCTTTCGGCAATAGCTACCCTAATACCCTTTTTGTATTTCTAAAGAGCCTCTGCTCACTGGTCCCGCCCTTACTGCAGGTTCATCGTTTTACAGACATAGGGTACAGGTTATCTTCTGCAATTTTTTTACACAGGTGCTACTAAAAAGCAGAAACATTTAGCAGAAAACGTGGAAAAAAAGACACATCTTCAAACCACATTTATAGGTCAAAGGAGAATTTATGGCACACATCCACATATACGACTGATGGAAAATAAAGACAGTTATACATACCTTTACTAAGCAATTTTTATGTCCAGGTACAGAGCCATTTACATAGATTATATTGTGCTTTGTGTTTATTCTCCACACCTAAAGCAAGAAATGAAATCAAACCTTAAGAGTTAAAAAGTTGAGAATATACTTGTATTAAAACAAATAGTATGTCACTAAAAACTGAGGCTATAAGTAGCCTGTGAAGTAATAACTATATTAGCACTTCAAAATGTTGAATGAGAACTGAAAAAATTCAAATCCTATGGATGACTTGTAATGTAAGACTATAACAGGTATGTCTTATGGAAGTGGTAGCAAAATCTCATTTTAAATATAAATGTGACTGTATGATCAAGACTACCTGGATATCTCTATGGACTCTGCTGGCACTATTAAGAATAAGAAGTGGAAATTCAATTTTATTTTATTTTTAGTTAATATCAGCTTGCTGCAACTAGAAACTGGGGAATCCACAACCTCTCTGAGTCTAATTTAAAAAATAAGTGTGCTGAGCAGATGGCCCTCAAACAGATCTTCACATGGAGAAAAAATTTACACAAATGCGAGAGAATGGTCAAGAAATGGTACTGAGAAAAATAAAGTATTTGAGGGGGAAAATAGATTTAATTATATAAAATTTTCAAAAATTCTGCTGGCCAAAATTTATAAATAAAATATATCTAGAGTAGAGACTGGAAGAACATGCACCAAAATGTGACTAGCAGTTATCTTTGGATGTTGTTCTTACGGGTGGCTTATTTTCCTCTTTGTACTTTCTATACGTTCAAACATATGCATACATATATAAACATTAGTTCTTTGTTTTAATAAAAATATAATTATATGGCACCCATTATAGTACAGCTCATTTTCTCTTAGATATTACATACATTCCTCAAGTTAGTAGGGACTGAACTTCCCCCTTCTAAATATATATATGATTATTTTATAAAAACAGATGTATACCATAATCCTTTTCTAGTACTATCTCTTCCTTCCTATTTTGATTGTCTCCCTCTCTCCTTTCCCTCACCCACATCCACTTCCATCCACCCACACATCTGACATAAAATTTGGTATGTAACCGTCCACTTTTCTCTGTGCGTATATCATGGCATGGCAAAATACATACGTAGAGAGCTTTTGTTCATTCTTTTATAAAAAGAGACTATTACACATAATGATCTGAATCTTACTTTTTTCGTGTAACAACATCTTGTGGAAACTTTCCAGGTCAAATAGTAGATGCTAACTTTTTCTTTTTAATGACTGCACATTCCACGGCTTGGATGTTAAGTGAACATATACTACTACGACTTCCACACACACACAGTTCACAAATCCTCCACTCCTTAATAACTGTAAAACCTATTTAAACTGTGAACAATCATACACAGACACACATTAAATACACATTCTGGTGCCTCTGTATTTAAGCATTAATTTACTCCTAAAGAGCCACTTCAGAAACTTACTTTCAGTCCATATGCTGTTCTATGTATGTTGCCCATTTGTCCAGGCATTTTAGTTCCAGGCCAGACTCTCGCAACATCCTAAACGAGAGAACCCAAATAAGCACTTTTAAGTACTCTCTATTTCAAACAGTACTGCTCAAAACAAAATGCAAATTCAGATAGGAGTTATTAAAATGCTTTATTTTTTTCCCATTCTGCTAGGCCCCAGTAAAGAACTAAATATGGATTTAGACACATTTACCCCTAGAGGATTTCCTTTCCAAATTAGATTAGAGCAACAAAATAAACATAGACTAAGAAACAGATTTAGGAGAAAAACTCTGTAACAAGAGAGCAGCAACTGAGCTACTATTGGTTAAGAAGTAAAAAAGAAAAATAAAGGACATACAAGCACGTCATACCGCCATTCAAAGAAAAAAATGGTCTGCCTAGCCTGTTTTCACTAATCTGTACTAACTGACCTAATAGACTCCTCCACACTACTTCGGCTGGAATGGTCCTACTCCCCACCCTTGCTTTTGATGTGACTTACTTTCACTAGAATGATTCAAGGACAGAGTCAATTATCAGTATATTGAGTTTGTCCAGCCCTCATTGTCCCTGATTCACATAAATCAAACAGCTTCACAGTCTCTCTGATTTTGGTTTTGATAATGGATAATAATTCTACATCTAAAGAAACAAATCTGCATTACAGCTAAAATGGGAAAGCTGCTCATGACACAACACTTTTGCGTCACTACTCTCACATTAACAGGTAAAACTCCCAGTGGAAGTGGCTCACCATATATTAGAGTTGGTTAATATGTAACCAACACAGCTTAAAAGACCATTCTGAATATTACAGTCATAGTATCACCCTTATTCATTCTACAAATACACTCTGTGATAAGCACTGTGCTTAACATTACATTACTATATAAGGACCAACTCTGCCTCTCCAGTTAAATTTACACTCTCATTAAAAGTACACCCTAACTCTTAGGATTATAAAGGCATTTAGTAGCTAATCCTTAATGGAAGTATTTACACAAACTGAATAGTGTATTTCATGACAAATAACTAACTTGAGTCATAAGAATAGGTTCTTCTATATGCCTAATTTTTAAAAGAGCTTTATTGAGATATAATTCACATACCACACATTTGACTTTTAAGTGTACAGTTTAATGTTTTTAGCATATTCAGAGAGTTGTGTATTACCATAATCAATGTTAGAACATTTTCATCAATCCAAAACAGAAATTTCATACCTGTTAGTGGTCACTCCCTCCAAGTCCCCCAGCCCTGTGTAACCACTAATCTACTTTTCTCTCTATAGATTTGCCTAGGATGGACATTTCATATAAGTGGAATTACACAATATGTAGTCTACTGTAACTGGTTTCTTTCACTTGGCATAATATTTTCAAGGTTCATCCACGTTGCAGCATGTACCAACACTTCACTCTATTTTATTGCTAAATGATATTGTACGAATATATCACATTTTAACTATCCATTCAAGTGACGAACATTTAGGTTCTTTCTATTTTTTAGCTATTATGAATAATGTTGCTATGAATATTCATGCACAAGTTTTTGTATGCATGTTTTCATTTCTTTTGGGCATAAACCTAGGAGTGGAATTGCTGGGTCATACGTACCTTCATACTTAACGTTTTTTAGCAACTGCCAAACTGTTTTCCAAAGAAGCTGTACCATTTTTACATTACCATCAACAATGTATGAGGGTTCCAATTCTTCCACATCCTTGCCAACATTTGTGATTATCTGTCTTTTTAATTACAGTCATCCCAGTGTGTGTTACGTGGTATCTCAGTGTGGTTTTGATTTGCATTTCCCTAACGACTAAAGATGTTAAGCATATTTTCATGTGCTTATTGATCATCTGTTTATCTTCTTTGGAAAAATGTCTATTCAAGTCCTTTGCCTATTTTTTAATTGGGTTATTTATTATTGAGTTGTAAAAGTTCTTTATATATTCTGGATACAAGTTTTAGCAGATATATGATTTGCAAGTATTTTCCTCTTTTCGTTTTCTTGATAGCATTGTTTGCAGCACAGAAGTTTTAAATTGTGATGAGGTCTAATTTACCCACATTTTCTTTTGTTACTTCTCAGTGTCATTTGTATCTAAGGCTTTGCCTAACCCAAGGTCATGAAGATTTACTCCTATGTTTTCTTAAAAGTTTTATAGTCTTAGCTTTTAAACTTATGTCTATGATCAACCTAATTTTGATAACTTTTTATTTTCATATAATTTATAACTATATAATTTCATATTTATAAAAAAGCTGCAAAAATAATAAAAAAACTCTCATACTCTTTACTCAAATTCACCAATTGTTTACATGTTGCCCCATTTGCTTTACGAGTCACTCTCTCTCTATGTATCACAGCTTCTCCTACAACATCTGAAATTGGTTGCAGACATGATGCTCCTTTACATGTAAGTATTTCAGGGTGTATTTCCTAAGAAGAAGGATATTCTCTTATATAACTACAGTACAGTTATAAAACTCAGAAATCTTATTATCTAATCTACAGTCCACATTCTAATTTTGTCAACTGTCCCAACATATTGTGTTCATTATAGCTATTTTTCTCCCAAGTCCAGGATCCACTTCAGAATTATCCGTTGCATTTAGTTGTCATGTTTCCTGAGTGTCCTTAAATCTGGAGCCGCTCCTCAGCCTTTCCTTATCTTTCATGACTTTGACATTTTCGAAGGGTACAAGCCAATTATTTTGTAGAATATCACTCACTTTGGGTTTGTCTGATGTTTCCCCAAGATTAGACACAGATGATGCATTTTTGGTTGGCAGGAATTACCACAGAAGCGATGATGTATTCTTTTCCAGGAATCATATCAGGAGGCACAGTATGTTGGTTTGTCCAATTATTGGTGATGTATAATGCTGAACAGTTAGTTAAGGATATGTTCACCAGGTTAATCCACTCTAAGATTATTATTTTTCTCTTTGTAATTAATAGGCAATTTGTTTTGGGACTATGTAAATAACAAGTCTCCGTGAAGCTTTCACCACTTGTTTTAGCATCCATTGATAATCCCTGGCTGAATCAATTATTCCTATGATGGCTGTCAAACACTGAAATTCTAACTCCATCATTCCTTCTACATTTATTAGCTGGGATTATATCGTAGGGAAAAGCAGTTGCTTTTCTTCTATTTATTTATTTATTTTTATTTTTATTTTTTTTGTGTGAGGAAGATCAGCTCTGAGCTAACATCCATGCCAACCCTCCTCTTTTTGCTGAGGAAGACCAGCTCCGAGCTAACATCTACTGTCAATCCTCCTCCTTTTTTTTTTCCCCCAAAGCCCCAGTAGATAGTTGTGTGTTATAGCTGCACGTCCTTCTAGTTGCTGTATGTGGGACGTGGCCTCAGCATGGCCGGAGAAGCAGTGACTCGGTGCGCGCCTGGGATCCGAACCTGGGCCGCCAGTAGCAGAGCGCGTGCACTTAACCGCTAAGCCACGAGGCCGGCCCTCTCCTATTTATTTATTAACCTATCCATTCATTTTATTTATTTGTGTCAGTGTGAGCTCATGGATTCTAACTTTATTCCATGATTTCTGTTACTATTCGTTTTTTTTGGTTTTCAGATCAAACTGTCCCAATTTTTGCAAGTGAGAGCTGATTTGAGCTGGCTTCTGTGTCCTTTTCATGTGTCTATCATTTTTTAAGCACTTCCTTGCTTTCTTGAATAAGCTGTTTTGGGTTCATCTTGTACTCTTCCTATCCCATGCATGAAACCAGCCATTTCTCCAAAGGGTCCTAGCTCTTTTCAGCAGGGAATGGTGTTTAGAAACAAAGATCTAGGCTCTAGGTGTGCTCATTGCTATGGAATGAGCTTTTAAGTCCTTTCAGTAGACAGAGCTAAGACATAAATATATATACACACACATAGATATCTATATTTATTTTACACAGTAAATGTATGCTGATACCTACAATTTGAAATCAACGTTATCGAGTTCATTTTAATTTCCCTCCTTTTCATACCTTAATACCCTTCTCTAATAGTGAGACACCTGGCTCCCATTATCTATATTTACTTATCCACTCAATCCTATAACTCACAGAAAACTATTTCAGAATTAATATCACTACAAAAAAAAAATTAGAATTCAACACCTGTGCACAGTACATTTTTAACTTAGACTCAGGGTATACAGCCAACTACTGTGTTCAACAGTTACTTGAGTTAGCCACCCCCATCCCCTTCACTGTGGTTATGTTATTCATTTGAAACAGTTAGGTTCATTTTCTAAATATATTCCATTATGGATTCTCCCCCTCATGTTTGTTTTTATTTTATTTTGAATATGTAAAACATTAACATGATTCCAAAAGTAAAAAGTATAACAAATAGTATATTTAGGAAGTGTCACTTCTGCCACTCCTAAGCCCTTCCATACTGTTCCCACCCATCCCTTATACGTAACCAATCTCATTAGTTTCTGGTTTATCTTTTTGGTCCTTCTTTTTGCAAAAATAAAGCAGATAACATGTGCACTTCCTTATATCCTGGAAATCACTCCATTGTTTCATAATGATCTTCTCACTTTTTTCTGGCTCCATAGTATTCTATTGAACAGATGGACCACAGTTTACCCATTCAAACTCCCAAGTATGGACACTCATGCTTATAATTATAAATAATGTAGCAATGACTAATTCTATGCAAATGCATTTTTATATTTTTAAGAGAATATCTTCAGTGTAAATTCCTAGCAGTAGGATTGCTGCGTCAAAGTAAATGCCTTGCAGTTTTGTTAGATATTGCCACATTCCCTTCCACAAAGGATGCACTATTTTGTATTCTAACGAGCATTGTATGAGAATGCCTGTTTCCCTACATTCTTGCCAAAAGAGTGGCAAAAACTAAACAGCTTGGTAACACAGTATCATGTATTAAATATCAAGTATCAAGTATGACTGAATTAGCCATACAAAAGTCCTTCTCTATTTTCTATGCTCTTGTTGTTTATTTCTCCATTTCTTCTCTAGCACTTTTTCCCTTGCACCATGATATTGCCCCTGACAATCTTTCCCAATAGTCTCTTTTAAGGCAAAAACGAACCTGTGAAGAAACCAGTGGGGCCAGATGGAAGGGCATTTTAATCTTTTATTTCTTGCAGCTGACTTCAGAGTGTAGAATGGGAGACAGAGATGGGAATGAGAAAGTAGGCAGAAAAGTATTAAGAATACTGGCTGTAAGTATGTGGGATATAACTAAATGATTCAAGTCTGGCTCTGGAAAGTAAGTGATGCCACGACCCATAAAAATGTGACAAGTACTAGGACCCACCTGGAGTCAGATTAAAACTATGTGATTTGATCCCAGGGACAGACTAAGCATGATATGTGCAGAAATTAAACACTTAGCATTAAAAAGAGCATTACTAAGCATACTTACACCAGTTGAAATAGCTCCAGGTCTCCTGTGGGTTTTTGTTTGACCATGAGTAGCAGGCTGGCCTTTAAATCCCCATCTTTTCATGACACCTTGAAAACCTTTACCAATACTGAGCAAGATAAACGTTACAATTTACACAATGAACAGCACATAAAATATTCCCAATTGTACACTTTTTGATAGTACCTTAGAGTTTTAACATAGCTCCTTATCTAAATAACTAGAAAAGACTACACAAGCAAAACTGAAAATGAATATTCCTTTATCTCTATCCTGCTTTGCCCCTTTTCCTGGAGTCTCATTCTATATAAAATGATTAATTCAAGACTGTGAGACAACAGCTAAGCAAAAGTTCTACCTGAACAGGGAGTTTTATCACCATAATTCTGTGAAACAATATAGTAAAAGTGGTATACTTCTAGAAGCTCCAAAGTCCTCATAAGAGATGTGGCAGGCAACTATTAAGACCCCACCCCTGGTACTCGTGCCCTTGTGTAATCACCTCCCCTTGAACTGGGTGGACCTAGCAACTGACTTCTAAGGAATAAACTATGGCAAAAGTGATGAGATGTCACCTCTGACATTAGGTTACAAAGAGACTGTGGCTTCCATCTCGGCACTCTCTTGCTTGCTAGGCTCTGAAGAAAGCCAACTGCCATACTGTAAGCTATCCTATGGAGAGTCATAAGGCAAGGATGTCTCCAGCCAACAACTATGGACCTGAGGCATGCGAACTGCCATGTTAGTGAGCTTGGAGGTGATTCTCCCCAAGCTGAACCTTGAGATGACTGCAGCCTTGGCAGACGTCTTGGTTGCAGCCTCGTGAGAGATCCAGAGCCAGAGGCACCCTGCTAAGTTGTACTGGGATTCCTGACCACAGAAACTGTGAGGTAATAAATGTTTGTTGTTTTAAGCTGTTATGTTTTAGGGTAATGTGTTAGGCAGTAATAGATAACCAATACAATAGAGCACTAAATAAAACAATAATAATGCCCTAAATGCTGAATAAGTTTTACTTTTAGAAGATACCAGATGGATCTTGGTCTCAAGGTTTGAATAGGAAGCTAACGGAGAAATAAAATCAGAGAGTAACAATTTCTTAAAAATCTAATACTTCAATTTTTAAAGCAAACTACTCTAATTCTGCTAATTAGAGAAACATTCTGTGATGCAGGTAGAAAGCAAACAATACTCAGGTTCAAGCATTATTCAAGTTTGCCTCTGATTGTCAAATACATCAGTACAAATGATACAATGAAAGGGCTAGAATGAACTATAAGACTATACAGACATATTTTTATAGACTCTGAAGATGAAAATTTTTTTCACCTTTCACTAGATAGCATGTCAACATATTGTTAATGCAGTGTTCCCTAACCCTAACAAAGCATAGACAGTGCATAGTTCAGGCCACTACAAAAAAGACCAAAAGCAAAAGATTATGAAAACTATGTTATAAGGAAACTAAGTTATATAACATAAAACTAAGTTATATAACATATAACTATGTTATAAGTTCCATAAGGACTTTAGTATGCATTTAACAAAGCATTATCAGAGAGTAATGGATTGAAGTAAGTCCATATGAATAATACAGTTTGTTTTAGATAAATCAGGAATTCAACATAAAAACAATCTGAACTATATGTAGAACCTAACAGCTGAATATTACCAAATCACAGGTCAAAAGTTATTTGTCTATGAATAATTTAAATGTAGCTTTCACCACTTTCTTCACATTAATCAACTGAACACATCACTTATGGTGTGTACATAATTCTTTTTTTGCCTCAAAAAGTCAAAATAATGCTTATTCCTGATCAAAGAGCTAAAATAGAAACTTAACATATATTAAATGAAAAACCACTATAAATTTTGCACGGAGATTAACATATAAGAAAAGACTATAATAATCACATATTTTACTGAAATTTTGCTTCAGAAATTTAACAAATATTTCCACTTACCACTGAATTTTAGAACGTATTTGAAAAATAAAAAGCTTGGGAATTTAAAAATAAAAAATACCTAAAGAGTCATTTGAACCAATGATATTGTTTGGCAAACAACACTTTAAAGACAAAAGGGGAGGGGACTGGCAACACTAATCTAAAATGAAACGTGTTAAAAACACCACATTCTAACACTGGCCATTCTTGTTAGGAAGTTTGCCAGTAGCTTCTGAGTTCTCAAACTGATTCATCTCTTACTTAAAAAGAGAGAGCATGAGTGTGTGCACCAATAAACACATGTCAGGTAAATTACAGAAGATAATTTAGCTCATTTTAAGAGTAAATGATTATAAGATGAAAGTGGTATCCTGTAAGTGCTAATTATCTGTCGGCTAATTACAGATTGTTCTTCAATCTAGCTTGAGAATACATCATGTTGTTACACTGTGTACAATGGGAACCTCTTCAATAAATAACCTTTAAACAAAAGGATAAAACACAAATGGCATGACAAATTATTGGCTTAATTCAGATTATGCAGAAGAGAGTGCACCTGTTGATCCATGGGTGGCACAGGTATCTGTTCTATTGCTTCTCTCAGATGTCACCCAACTTGAGAACAAAAAACAAAAGCAAGAACTGCACTGATCTATATTTAGCATACCCAGGCACACTTTAAATGTAAGGTTTTCACAGGTCACACAAAATAAAACCTTCATTTTACTAAAAATGATACACAACACAACACATAACACACGCTTTATCTCCCCCACCCCTTTTCTGCTGCAGTTTTTAGTTAATGACAGTAGAAAAAAATTCAAATAAAGGAAAATCCCAATCAGAAAGAACTCTAAATTTAGTGAGACATATTAGGAAATTAGGAAAACATAAAAAATGTATTTTATTTAGAGCGTTTATACTTGATAAACCAAAAATTCATCAAAAAACTCAGAAAATACTATTTAAATTTAGGAGCCTTTATTGCCTTGTTTCTCAGTCCATTTCCCCTTAGTATACTTTAAATTCACAAAGGACAGGGACTGTGGATTATTTAACTCTAATGCCCAACCGAGAGTCCTCAGAGCAATTTTTTATTGGCTATAGCTGGTCTTAGGAAGAAAGATGGTTAGTTTTCTTTATTTTGCCCTGTAGTTTTCAAATATGGTATAATGGACATGCTTTTATAAAAGTTTAAGAAGAGGGTATTAAGAAAAGGGGAAGAGGAGCATAAAGATATGACTCTAAGAATCTTGCAGAACAAAATGCATAATTTAATGTTTCCAATTACATTCTATAAATCGCTAGGGATTACTAAGTGAATTTCATTCCCTTGACATATTGTGACAAATGCCCAAATGTCTACCAGCAGACACGCAGGTTTTATCACAAACCCATCATGTATTTCCCCACTCTGTGGGAAACTGCCTTTGACTGCATGATTCTAGACACACTTGTATATGGGATAAAATAAAAGGTCCACGAGGTGAGGAGTGCTCTCCAGTCCATTCATTCCGAGTCCTCTGAAAACTTCCCCAAAATTCCCAGCACTGAGTCCTGTGCCACTGGCTGCTTTTACCTTTCCTCTCCTCTGTACTCCTCTTTCTTCTTTTTGGGAAGCAAACTGCTTCTCCCTCTCTCATCCACCATCTGCAATCCATCTTTCTCTCCAGTTGTTCCCTGGAACTCACTCTGAGGTTAACCCCCGAATTTCCAAATCCAAAAGCCTTTTATTAAAATAACTTTTTATTATGGAAGTTTTAAAACACGTTCAAAAGCAGAGAGACTAGTACAATGAATCCCTATGTATCCATCACCCAGGGTCAAACAATGACTGACTCAAGGCTTATTTTGTTTCACCTTTTCCCCTCCCCTGCAACTCCAAAGGATTATTTTGAAACGAATTCCAGATATCATATAATTTCATCCATAAATATCTCAATCTGGATCTCCAGAAGACAAGAATCTTTTTAAAGAACAAAATTACAAAACCACTATCGCAATCTAAAAAATTAGTAATTCCTTAATACTGTTCGAACTTGTGTTCAAATTTCTGTGGCCCTTTTGTTTTGTTTTGTTTTGCTGAGGAAGATTTGCCCTGAGCTAACATCTGTGCCAGTCTTCCTCTAGTTTGTATGTGGGTCACCACCACAGCATGGCTGTCGACGAGTGGTGTAGGTCCACGCCCAGGAACCAAACCTGGGCCACTGAAGAGGAGTACGCCAAATTTAACCACTAGGCCATGGGGCCAGCCCCTCTACGGCCTCTTTTAAAACAGAGAGTTGTCTTCTATCCCTCCTTCTTAACCACTCTCTGCCACCACCCCTAATCATCATTTCCCTCCTATTTTCCTGCTTCCCTAACACTCTTTGAGAAGTTCCTTTTCCCTTGCTGCTACATGAAAAGACAGTCTTAGAGTCCTGCCTCTGACCCTCTTCTCATTATGGTTTAAACCAGGGTGAGCAAACTATGGCCTGCATTGGCCACTTGTTTTAGTACATAAGTTTTACTGGAATGCAGCCATGTACATTCATTTACTTACTGCCTACGGCTGCTTTAGAGCTAAAATGGCAGAACTGAGTAGTTGTAACGGAGACCAGAATGCTTGCAAACCTAAAATATTTATTATCTGGCCCTTTGAGAAAAAGTCTGCTGACCCCTGAAGCTACTACTACTAAGCTGGAGTTCCACAAACCTTGCCCTCTGGCAAGAATTCTGCTACCACCTCATTCCACAGATTACTGACCATTTCCAACTGGAAGTACCTCAGTCGTTCAACTACAGTGTTTCAGAAACAGAAACTGAACGTCTCCCTCTTTTCAAGCCATCTTCCTCTCTGCAGCTAGAGTGAAATTTCCAAGATGATAGTCTTATCACACAAGCTGTCTCCTGCTTTAAAACACAAAACAGCAACACAAAAACAAGCAAACAAACTAAACCATAACCTTAAATGGTCCTCAGTAATTTGTTTAGCTTGGCACATATAAGGCCTTTTATAACTGGGTTCAGCCTACCTTTCAAACACTGCCCACCACAAATCCTAGTCATAGCTGATTTCTCCATGAATCCCTAAATATGCCACTCTCTTTCATGCTTTTGCTCATTTTGTTCCCTCGGCCTCAAGCACCCTTCCCATTGCATTGTCTATCTTTCTACTATT